TCAACACTCAAAGCACTGTGGTCCTGGGACCAGCAGTAGCACCTGGGAGTCTGTTGGCAATGCAGGATCTTCAGGCTTGGACTAGACCTACCGCATCAGAATGTTCCTTTTATAAGGAGACCCCCAGGTGATTCATCCACTCACGGAACCCAGCGAGGCACTACTCCACCGACCCCATTAGGGATCCTCACCAACTTCAACCTCATTCATTTCTCCAATGAGAAAACGGGCCCAAGAGCGCAGGTCAGCTGTACATCCTGCTCCTCTTTTTGTTTTTTTCCAATTGAAGTATTACTTGATTTACAGTATTGTGCTAGTTTCAGCTGTATAGCAAAGGGATTCAGTTTTACATATACACGTATATATGTATATATCTATGTTCGTTTTTCTTCTATTCTTTTCCATTACAAGATATTGAATATAGTTCCCTGGGCTCTACAGTAAATCCTTGTTATTTATCTCCTCTCCTTGTCACTAAGTTCCTTGAGGGCAAGAAGGACACAAGACTCTTCTCTTGAATGTCCACTTGGCTGCCAGCACGGAGAAGCCCACACAGCTGTGGCCCTAGAAATGCCTGCTGTCTGTATTCCCTCCGGACTCCAAATTCTCCTTTGTACCCAGAAAGCAACTCGCTCCCTTTGCTCGTCCACAGAAGCACAGGCCACATCCCCCCCGCCCTCACGGTCACTGGGGCACATCTACCAGCTTGGTCTTGTCAGTTTCACCACCAGCCCCAGCTGCACGGAGGACCACAGGGTTTGAAGAGGCACTGGCTCCCTCCCCCTCCCCCTGCCTGTAGGTCCTTGTGGTTAGCGTCACACTCGAGAAAGAATAAATAGAAAGCAACCCCCCAGCCCGTTGTTCTAAGATAACCACAGAGATGACAGATGCTGCAAACCTGGGGGAGATGAAAGATAGTGACAATAAAAAACCAAGAAAGGCGCGTCCCAGTGACAAGAAGCCCCCGCCTGCAGATCCTTCTGCTAGGGTGTGATTTCAAAAGTCCCAGGCTGCGGCCTGTGAACTGTGCCCTCCAGGCCCCATCCCCGCCCCCAGGCTGGCCAGGCCGGTCCTTCACTGGCGAAGAGAGTAAGTGCCTCACAGGGAGGTAAGCCCAGCTCAGCTGCTCAACAAATGACCAGGAAGGAGAAAAGCTGAGCTGGGGGACAGCGAGGGGAAAGGAGGCTTCCTTCCGGCCGCCTCTCAACCCCGGCCGAGGCCATCTCAAGGAGCCCACGGCCTCCGGAGAGGAGGACCAACAGCCTCCCCGAAGGCTGCGGGCAGAAGGGTGGCTCAACACCTTAACTCACAGCCTCCACTTCCGGGCCCTGCTTCCTTCCTTCATCAGGCAACGGTGGACCCAAGACAGGAAACCACCCACCTCCTTGCTCCACAGTGAATTTGTTTCTTTTGTCAAGAAATTCAGGACCCAGCCTGACACATCCGTGTACCAGGTGGCACTGCAGCTTTCGGTCCACATGTCCTTACTCGGCCCCTCCGACCAGGATGTGGCTCTCTCGTCTCGTCTCTCACACCAGGCACAGGGCCTGGCGCGCACAAGGCGCTCCATAGATGTTTGGGTATAAAAGACCCTCAGGGGCAATGAAGCCAATTCCTCTCTACACAATGTGACAGACCACAAAGGATGAGCCATCACCTTTGTTAGGAGAATGAAATGGCATCCTCCTTATGTGCCTTCTTTGGGGCACGTCGCCATCTCACCCATTTTCAGAGATGTTCTCTTTGTCGTGACCGTCCTCACCATGCCACCACTGACAACAGTCACAGAGGTGAGAGGTGTAACCGTAAACCTCACCTCTTTTCTAAGACTTTGGAGGCAGCATAATATATCAGCTAAAACAACAGGTTCTAGAGCCTTAAATTCTTGGGTCAGGTCCTAGGTCTGCTGTGTACAAGTTATGAACCTTGGCCGAGCGACTTCACTCCATTACTGTTTTCTTGTCTATAGAACAGGAGTAGGGGTTCTGGTGAGATGATATATGTCATCGAACAGTACTCTTGACTGTCGTGTTCGTTTTTACTGCTGGTCTCTGAGCAGCTAAAGTTCTCCAAGCAGAGCAAAAGCAACCAGCGAGCAGAGTTCCTTCCCTCCTACTCTGAGATGAGAAGAAGGCTGGGGCCTAGCAAGGCAGGGGTGTGCTCAAGCGCTCAGACGATAACACACAGGGGCCGACCCATCAGGTGCAAATGAAGTAGAACCACATCCACGTAGACGTCTGCCCTTCCCTTTCTTCTGGAAAAAGACAGCCTCCCTGGCTTTCATTTTCCATTTTGAAGAGACATGAGGACGAGGGCAATTTCCCTTCCTTCTTAATCTACTATGAGAAAAGCAGCACCCTCATGTGCTCCGTGAAAGTCCACACTTAGCCTTAGTGGAAGAGACAGAGAGGGGGTGGAGGAAACGCTGGATGTGGGCAGGCTGGTCCCCAGCTAGGGACCCTTAGAGACAGCTGCCACTCGCTCCAACCAGCTGTCAACATACAGTCATTAGAACTCAGTGTTTCCAGCCCTTTGGATCATTTAAAGATATTTCCGAATTTTAAAATGTTGTACGTGTTCGGGTACAGGACGAAATACAGTTTTATTCACTGCAACGTTACTTGTAATAAACACCAGACAGCTATAAACAGCTTGTGTCCCTCAGCAAGGATTGGTTGAATCAATGACGGTGCATCCCTACAACAGAACACTGACAACCATACAAAAAACTCCTGCATCTATGGGATGCAGCAGTTCTTAGACGGAAGTTCATAGCGATACATATAACGGAATACTACACCCCTGTGAAGAAGGAGAAAGCTCTTGGTTCACTGATAGGGAAAGATTGCCAAGATCAAGGAAGAGAAAAAAGCGAGGTGAAACAGCGTGTAGATTGTGTATACTATAATTATGTACGAAAGAATGGGATGGAGGGAGAATGTATGTTTGTACTGCTTCTTCTTTGCAATAAGAAAGTCTAGAAGGGTGTATAAGAAACAAATAAAAATGGTTACTGGGGAGGGGGCAGGATGGGCATATGGAGGCTGGTATAAGAGGTCACTAGATATCTTTCTATAATGATTTGATTTTTGAGCTATGTGAATATAGCACTTACTCCAAAAATAATATAAAAACAATGTGAACACCAGCCACCGTGAACAGCACACATCTACAGGCTACACGTGGCCTGTTGGCCTCAGCTTTACAACCTCTGCACTAAGGGGTCCCGACCGGGAGGCAGAAAGTTGGCAGCAAGGGGTCCAAGTTGTATTGGGTTTGAAGACCAGCAGGTTGTTCAAATCTGGCATCTGGAACACCCTCTGGGTTGCCTGGCAATGAGCTGGTTGGGCCCAGGAGCTCCTGTTCTCCCAGGAGAAGGGCGTGCCGCTCTCCACCCCCTTCTGAGCTTGGGTTTCTCCACCTTCCTCCAAAGTTAAGGCTGACCGGAACCCAGATGGTCTGTTTGCTCCCTTCTGTTGAGGCCTCCCCCTGACTTGTCCTATAAAAAAGGTGCAGCGATAGGAGCGTGGCGTCCCTCCACTGGCCAGAGCGTCATGTGTGTTCCACTGGGCCCAGCCACGTTCCCTGGAGGATGCCGAGAGAACAGAGGACACGGCCCACTGATTCATCTCCCTGTTCCTTCCACCTGCACGAAGGGACACAGTAACTATTCACCCCGGCCCCGTGTACGTCCTAGTCTTGTCACTGAAAATCGCTCACTTAGTGTTCCAGGTTGAATTACGATCTCCAAGAAAAGGCACAGTGAAGTCCTAAATCCCAAGACCTCAGAAGGTAGCCCGATATGACCGGGGTCCTCAGAAGAAGACAGTCACGTGAAGACAGAGACACACGGGGTAACCCATCTGACAACGCTGGCGCAGCGTGGATTATGCGGCTGCAAGCCTCGCGAGAAACGCTCAAGATTGCCAACCGACTGCCAGAAGAAGGAGGAAGCCAGGAAGGACTTCCCCTGAAGATCGGAGAGGGAGCAGGGCCCTGCCGACACCTTGGCTTTGGACTTCCATCCTCCAGAACCGTGAGACAACACATTTCTGTTGTTTTCAATCACCCGGTGTGCGGCACTCCTTAGGGCAGCCCTAAGGAATGAATACACTCAGGCCAGCTCTAGTGGCCAAGGCATCTGACATTCTCCCACCTCAAGAGGTGCTCAGGAGATGCTGATGGCGACTCTGCCCAACGAATGAAAATTCTAGGCCCTGACCGATCACGTTTTATCACATAGGTATACGGCGAACAATCAAACAGTACGCAATTACTGAGTGCCGACCCCGTGAAGAATATAAGAGAAGTAGAGTATTCTGTGACTGCCCTCAAGGAGTCGACAATCTGAAGATTTGAGACAGACACATAGAACGTAACAACACACATCACAGGGGCCAAATAAGCATGACTTCAGCCCCCAGCGGACGCTACATGGGTCACCCGTAACTCAACCTCACTGTGTTGCCATCCGGACTCCATGTTCTACTGTATTTCCTTTCGGCCGAAGAACTGGCGAAACTAGAATGTCAGGCTAGCAGACAACTTCTAGACGCTGTCACCCCTGCTCCTGGCCTGGAACTCAAACTTCTCGCCCGCCGCGGAGGCCCACTGTTGTCTGTGACATTCATCCGCCACCCTTGAGCGAAGGCTCTCACGTTGGTTGCTCACGCACTTCCTTTTTCTGTTCAGAGAGGCAGGCCCTGGAGGCACAGTGAGCCTTTTCTGCAGCCCTCCACAAACCCGGCACGCAGCAAACACAAGGGCCACATGGTCTGGGAGTCCACTTTGGCAAGCTGACCAACAGTTTTGAAGAGGGGCTACAAAAGACGAGAGATACTGTTTCCTGTGGCATCATTCAGAACCTCTGCTCGTTCAGCCCAGCCTCCCTGCAGGTGGCTGCTCGCACCATACCTGCCTCTAGGAACCTCTGATTCTCACCATAAGAAGCCTCGTGTCCAGCTACACACCCGGGGTGGGCAGGGGTGGGGACAGCTCACCTTGACTGGTCTCTCCTGTGGTTTCTTCTGGATCCCGGTCTCCGGGGTCCTGCTGCACCGGGGCTCCTCCTGGAGCTCTCTCTGTGGCCACGCCGAGTGCCAGGTGGAGCCCCAGGCCGGGCTGACGAGGCAAGGCGGCAAGTCGCCACTGCCCCACCCTTGACAAGCAGCCCAGTGGCCCGACCGTGGCTCCAGGCCAGTCTCCTGAAGGGCAGCTGTGGTCAGGGCGGGACCTGCCGGCAGAACACACAGAGGGAAGGTGTCCTCAGTTTGGCTTCAAGTAACTCATTATAGATCTCAGGACAGAGAACGCCCTGAAAGTCTCTTAGTTTTCCTCCTGGGACTTCTGAAATCAGCTACCAGCTGTGGTCTGGGTCAGGTTTTGCAGCAGACCCCGGTTGCCTGCCTAAGATCACTCATTTTTCCCTTCCTCCTTTCCAAAAAGATTCCAATTTTGGTCATCACTCAGGGTAATAAGCGACCTTCTGCTCAGCTCAGGGCCCCATCCAGTCAAAGCAAGTGCGGGCCCTTGCCGGAGGGTGGTGGGGGTGGGTTTCTGATCCCCTGCTGGCCACTGAGACAGGAGAGGGGCTTCGTGGGAGGGACTCTGGAAATGTTTTCCTGGCCCCTAAGGGAGATGCAGGCCCACCTTCCTCTGGTATCAGGGAAGTGGCAGGATTAAGCTTTGTTCTCTGGGATGAGATCTCTGGCTTTAATGCTGACCTGGGACTCCACCCACACAGCCGTGAGAAATCACTGAAGCTACACCTAAAGGCTGCAAGAGACAGGATCTGACGTGCATTTTTAAAAGGTGACTTGGGCTCCTTGTGGGAATGAATTTAGGAGGGGGAGGAGGGGGCGTGGATACACTGAGACCCGTTAGGGGAATATTACAGTCCAGACAAACGCTGGTGTGTCCTGACCAGGGTGGAGGCAGGTGAGTTGGTACAGGTGAATGGATGCTAAGCTATTTAGAAGTGGGATTAAGAGGATGGAGGGGTTCCGATACGGCAAAGGCAGAGGAGAGGTGGAGGCTGCCTTGGACTCAGTGGTCCTCTCTACATCCATCCTGGAAACTCTCAGAGATAAAATGACTCTTGAAAATCTCCTCCTCTTGTTTGGTCAATGCTCCTTCTGGCATCACGTCCTCGGTGGGTGGGTGCTGAACAGAACAAGTCTCCGCTGGGTGAGCCACGCCATGATTGCTCCTCAATGAGGTTATCTCACGAGCTGTTCGGGCGCTCCCAGAAGCCTCTAGGTACAGGGTGGGCTTCTAGGTCCAGAGGGCTGACCTCCATTGGATTGCTTTTCCCTCTCCTAATTTTGTCAATACTAAATAAATATGCTGGACTTCTATTTCCCGCATTACAGCAGGCTAAGTACTTAGACTGAACCTCCCGCTGAAAATCTTGTATAAAGGATAAAAAACAATATTTCTGAAAGCATTGATGAGCTGGCAAGAAAGGAAGGAACTCACTGGCCAGGCATGTCTTCAGATAATGGGATATTCAGGTTCTGACTATAATGTAATTAAAGAAATTAAAGACGAGCTAGTAAATATGAACAGGGAACAACAACAACAAAAAAAAAACATGAGAAATAATCAAGAAGATTTCAAGAAAAAATGGACCCAAGAGAATTTTTAGAAATAAAAATTAAATAACTGAAATCACAAACTGTGGACAGACTTAATAGCATAGTAGATACAGCCTGAGAAAGAAGCAGTGAACTAGAAGCTACGTCAAAATAAATTAACCAAATGCAGCCCAAAAAGACAAAGACTCAGAAAAATATGGGAGCTTAAGAGACATGAAAGATAGAGGCTAACATATTCTTAAAAGCAGCCAAGGAGAAAGCGTTCCCTTTCAATGGTTACAACGTAGATTACCTTCCACACGCTAAGCCAAAATAACTGTCATCTGAGAATTCTAGCCTTAAAGAATATGTCCTCTAAGAATAAGAGAAATGAAGACATTCTCCAATAAATAAAAGTCTAGTTTGTCACAAACAGACCCTCATTAAATGACATTTTTTAAAGGGGTATTTCAGATGGGAGGAAAGATTCTAGATGGAAGATCTGAGATTAAAGAAGGAATGAAAAACAAAGAAAATGAAAATAGATTTTCTCAGTCTGTTGTTGAGGAAATAACATCAATTGGGAGTCAGACATATTTATCTCGCATCTTGCTGTCATTTCTTACTATCTGGGAAGTTTGAATCACGTTAATCTCTCAGAATCTTGATAGCCTCATTTTAAAAATACATAAGTTGGGCTTCCCTGGTGGCGCAGTGGTTGAGAGTCCGCCTGCCGATGCAGGGGACACGGGTTCGTGCCCCAGTCCGGGAAGATCCCACATGCCGCGGAGCGGCTGGGCCCGTGAGCCATGGCCGCTGAGCCTGCGCGTCCGGAGCCTGTGCTCCACAATGGGAGAGGCCACAGCAGTGAGAGGCCCGCGTACCGCAAAAAAAAAAAAACAAAAACATAAGCAAGGTCTTTGTGAGGAATAAATGAGCCACCACATATAAATGCTCAGAACATAGATTCTGCATTTAGAAGGTGTGAAATAAATGTTCATTTCTTATCTTTTCAAAAATTAATAAACAAGCAAGTAAATAAGACGTGTTAGCAAGAAGGAATCCCTCCCTCTGCTTCAAGCGTGAGATAGAACTCTAGCACTTTTCCACGTCGTAAAAGGCTGCACTGCAGAGCTGATGCTTCAGAGGTTTTCTTTTCATCTTTTCAGTAGCAAGCCTAAGATCTTTCAGACAAAATATTTATGATTTCTTTATTTTATAAATACTGCATGTGAACACACAAGCCCCAGGGATAGACCCTGGATTCCAGCTTAACTCACAATTTTAAAATAAATTTGTGTTCACAGTTTCATGAGATCATAAAATACATGCTGGCCCATCCACGGGGGAAAAATGGCCTGTCCTGCCCACCCCTTCCCAGGGCTCTTCCGCCAACTAGGAGGTAGCAGCACACAGAGGATCCCTCTGTGCAGCTTCTGCATCCTGCCCCCCGCACCCCTGCTGACAGATACCCTCCCCAGCTCCACCCCTAACCACCCCTAACTTCACTCTCCTTTTCATTTAGGACAAGGAAGCCAGCTAAGGAAAGCGAGCTTAGTCTCCTTTAGATTCTCTGCCTAGTTTTCATATGGAACCAGTTTGGTGGTGGCGGGCAGGGAGGGGAGACGGGGACGGAGAAGGGACAGAAAAACTCAGAACCAGTCTTTCCCTGATGATGTCAAGGAAACAAATAGCACCAGTTAGGAGGTCCTAGGACCCGCGCTGGCATCCCTACTGTGCCCTTTGTCACCTATGTGTCCCCAGGCAAGCCAGTGAACCTCTCTGACTTTATTTTCCTCACCTGTAAATTGGAGTCAACAATTATTCCATATTTGTAGAGCATTTTACAATTTCCCAACTGTTTCCTCAGTCATAATTTCATTTACTATGCACCGTCAGGTATATAATCCCCAGCATAATGCTCACCTCACTGCCGTAAAGATTGAAAAGCAGAGCGTGGACGGCTGTGTACACGGCAAAGAGCTCCATCCGTATGAAGGATCATCACCAGTGCCACATGGCTGACCCTCTTAAGAGTGGGGGCTCTGCTGTCCAAGCGCCCATGCTTGGATTGATTCTATGCTGACCGGCTGTGTGACCTTGAGCGAGTTGCTTAGCTTCTCAGTTCCTCACTTCTAAGTGAAGGATGGTAACATTGGCCCCATCTCACAGCTCAGGGCTCCGTACATGGGAGGCTCTCTGGGAATGAGAACTGACTGTATCGACACCAACTGAAGCCCATGGGTGTCTGACCACACACATCCGCACTCCCTGACTCCCAGCATCCTCCCTCCTTTCCTATCCGTGGTTACATCCACTCTCCCCACGCCTGGGCAAATATTTGCAAAGGGGGGGCAGAAGCTCTGAACAACAGGACCCACTGTGGACGGTTTCTTTAAGATGACCAGCCTTCAGATTCTCACTAGATTTGTGGGTGTCTCCAGGCTGCTCTGGATGGAAGCAGAGTCCAGGCTCCCTGAGGTCCCAGGCAGCCCGACTCTTCCCACTGCCAGCTGAGGGTCTTGCTTCGGCGGACCAGAGAGTTCCGGAATATAGGTCGCCGGCTAAGCCTCAGTCCCCTAACTGGACCGTGCGGCCACCCTGTTAAAAGACACCCAGGCCTGAGCCGACACCACGTGGACCTGTTAGATGACCTATGAAACAAATGGTTAATTAAGCCCAACTTGATGAATGGATGGAAACCACTGGGCTGCAAAAAATATAAGCAGCCCCACTTAAAAGCACTTTCACCTCGTCACTGCTTCATCCCACTGTCATGACCGGCCTAAGAGATGGGAAGGACAGCTATTTCATCAGTGAGGCAGCCGGGGCCCACAAGCGGCACGCAGAAAAGCTCCTCCCGACATGAACCTGCCACCAAGCACAGCTGCTCACCCATCTGCCGGCTCTGGCCCCCGGCACTGAGTTCTAGAACTGCATCCTAGGAGGGCCGCATCAGGACCCCACCAGATGGGGCAGGGCCAGAGGACGGGAGCTGGTCACTCAGCTTGTGTCTTAGTCCCAGGAAAGAAAACACATGCTCCGTTGGCCTGGAGGTCAAGCTAAGTGCCATAGGCAGTGGGGTGGGTACACGTGTCCCCTGGGTGAGAGCGAGATGGCCAGCCAGGACCATCGCTGTGCTACTTAGCATCTCTTTCTAGAGTGACTCTGGGCAGCCCAGCCCAGAGGCTCCGCCGGCTGCAGACGGAGCATGGCACCGCTGCCCGGTGAGGGGCCCACCACAGCCCCGGGCAGGCAGGGGCAGAGAGGTCTCCACCAGCCATTGTGACCAGACCTCGGACGGGGCCAACTGTGAAAAGCTGCCTTTGGCCCTATAACCAACCAGGGCTGGCAAGGCAGCAGACAGGAAAGAAATCAACAGTGGCCTATTGTTAGAAGGGTATCACCTGGCTTCTCCTTGCCGTCTGTTTTGTTTGGCTTTCCTGGTGGATAAGTATGTACGAAGCGAGTCAGTCTCTGAGGGTGGGCCTACCTGCTTCCCCCTCAGCCCCACAGCACCTTCCGTGGGGTTCCGATCACCATCTCCTTCCTAACGGAGCGTGGTCCATGTAACACACACCCACACCCATGCAGATTCTAGAGATCCCCCCTCCAGAGCAGACACTCGTGTACCAGGCAGGGCCAGCTGTGCTTGATT